CAACATACGTTTAAAACTGACATTACTGTTTCACTATCTGTAACATTAAAAGGTGTTTTGTATAATGCAAACCATATCCGGATATTTTATCCGTAAAAAGTAGAAAGTCAAAAGAGGACAGAAATTGCTGACAAAGTAAAGAATGTTTTTTACAATGTAAGAAACCTACATTAGTTCTTTAATGAAATGTAATCAAACTATACCATAATCATTAATTACACCGAGGAACATTTTTTTCCCTTTTCTATTGTATGAAGTTTCTTTTTAACAGATTTTAGATGCTTTCACATTGCTGATTACAAATCTGCAATTAATTTATTTTTCCAAGCAACAGTTTTTTCTTTTTTTAGTGACACTTTTAGACTATTTCTTTCGAAAGGTACAAGTTAAAAAACGCTATACATAAAAAGGAATTCGCATATATTTTCCGACATACTTCTGGGGAGCTAGGACGCATCATCGGAATTAAAGTAGCATAGGAATGCTTCTCTATTATGAATCTCCTTTCTAAACAAGTAATAATAGGGAAACTCCCCGAGTGGCGTACGACGACATTTCCGAGCGTTAGTTTTTATGTAGTTTTAATCCTAATGCTCTAACCTAACTCTCCTAGAAGTATGTCTCAACATTTACACGACCCTCTGTTATAATATAACGCTTTTAACCTTATTTGGACAACAACAACAAAAAAATACTAGAAATTTTATTTTAACCAAGAAAAATTCTGTAGCTTCAGGAGCAAAACTAATTTCAGATTTGAAATTCCCACATCCTAATTAGGTAAGATCAAGTATTTATGTGTACAGTGAAACCTGCCAAGTTGACCACCCTTGTAAGTTGGACACCTGCATAAGTTGACCTCAATTATCAAGAACAGAATTTATATAATATAAAGAAGCAAAACCTTTGTAACTTGACTAACTGTCTATCTTGTATGTTGACCATTGAAATAAGTCAATTTTGTCCAGGAGTATTATGAAATTCTATTCTAAAACCCTCATAAGTTGACCAGAAAAAAAAAATTCCGAAAATTTTCCGTCATTTTGCAATGTATGTTAAAATTTCACTTGTTTGGTGAAATAGTGTAAAAAGCTAACCTAAATCCTTTAGTGAGTTGACCATCTGGGGAAACTGTAGGGGGTCAGTTTTTGACCATTTCTTTCATTCAAAACATTGTAAAGTCTAAACAACAGCGCCAAACAACAATAGGGTTATATTTTTGTAACAAATAGGTTTGTAAGTGTAGTAATAACAGAATAAATTTTAAAGTGTTCAAATAATTTTGTTTTATAATTATCAAATTACATGTTTTCGTGTTCTGATATTTTAAGAAATTGTTTTTATTAAACACTTCACGTGCATAATTAACAAAATAATTTTTTAAAAAAGTTTGTTAAATATTAGAATTATATGTAACAAATTGAAGTTCATTCAGGTTTAAATACATTTCTTAAGATATTCATTTGGCTATTTGCTAAATAAAATTTTTAAGTCAAGTAAAAAAAAATTTTAAATATATATAGCAACATGATATTGGATACGAAAAAGTAAACAATAACCCACCCCCTCTATAAGTTGCCCACTTGTCTGAGTTAACCACTAAAACAATGCACCACAAGTGGTCAACTTACACAAATTTTACTGTATATTCAACAAAATATTTATTCCCTAATTTATGTAGTATTTTGAACTATTGAATCAGAAAAAAGGGCAACTTGAAAAACATTTGACGTAATTTACCTTTTTTATACTATACACTCTAAGTGTTTAATGCTAAACTAGAATATTGCACAATTTTGTTTGAACCTTAATATTCCTCTTGAAGTAGTACCATATTATCATGTAAAGTTTAAGATGGATAAATTTAAAACTATTATTGAGATATTTTGCTTTGAATTATTGCTTTCCGTTACCGATATTTTAGAACTTCCTAGAGCATGCTCAGATTTTCGACAAATATCAGTATCACTAAGGAACAGGAGAAGAAAGTAAGATAAGCTCAAAGTAAATTTGCAAATTGTTTTGGTTCAATATATCTTACAATTTTCGCAAAGAGTATATGCCGTAGGCTAATTGGATTGGAAAATTTGGTTCTTTGCATATTGCTGACGTTACTTTGCACTGTTCCTACAAGGTTGGTGCAATAACCCTGACAAATGACGCCGGCGTCAAAGAGCTGGATCTTCCAATTAGCCTACAACATATATACTTCTAAAATAATGTATGTTTTTTTACCCTACTGATATGTTTCTAACAAAAAGAAACTAATTAGTTTCTTTAAGTATTTTATTATCTTTAGAAAATATATAACTCAAGCGAAGAACAAGGATAACAACGTTGTTTTATATATTAAAAAAAAAAGAAACAATCATTCCATCTAACAAATAAGCTGGACATAAACTTTTTTTTTTTAAATTATGTGAAAATTAAAAAGAAACAAATGATAAAAATCATTATCACTAAATTAGGTTTTTTTTTCCAAACGTATCAAAAACGTTTACCTAAATTTAAATTTTAAGGAGCAGGATAAATTTCCCTAAGCTGTATTTTTTTCCCTTTTGGTAGGTGGTAAATTGCTTGTTTCAATGTCATTGATACAATGTATTCTTAATTAAATTAGTTTTCTTTTTAATCTTTGATTTAATTACCACTATGAATAAATAATTCAATTTTTATTTAAAAAAATCATTTAGGCATAGCACTTAATATCTTAGTTATATTACAAAAATGTAACATAGAAATATTTCTATAAATAGTAAGTTATTTCCCTTTTGATTACATAAACGTCAGAATGTTTGTGTCATAACAGAAGACAAACAATTTAATCATAACTTAAAATATCACAAAAAGATTACAATTGCATAATTTTACAAATGTAACTACATAAACAAGTTTTTGCACATCCATGAGTTGACATCGAAAGCCATTTAAAATTATATCTTAATAATTAGTAACTATATTATTTTATGTACCTTAGAAATTATATAAAAATAATGTACAATGTAATTTAAATGTGAATCTATAATAGTTAGTTTAGTGTTTACATGAGATCAAACAGCTTATTAAAGTGCACAGAGTGCAAAATGCTTACAATGGAAAATGATCACCGCATGTGCTTTCACAAATTGCGAGTCTTTTGAGCACTCCTATCAGAAATATATCTTTTTTAAATAGCAATATTTAAGAAAAGTAATAATAATAATTTCCTGACTACCAATTAATAGATATTTAAGTTATAAATAGTGGTCTTTATATAGCATACGATTGTAGAGAGCAAAATCCATTTTTTTTAAAATTGTTACAGTTGTAATATTGAGCTTACTCATACAAAGTTGCTTAACTATCTAAATTTTTAATAAATTTTTTCTAAATTATTTAGAATAATAGTAGAATCATAAAGTTTGAAAACTATTTTTAATACTACTAATATTCCATCTCTAAGAATATTGTGATAAAATGATATTATACAAATTATTAACCACCTAGCTTCAACGATTGTAAAAGTACGTTTTAGGAATTTTTAGTATCTAATTATGTAGGACTTATATCTAGACTAAGAGGACTTTTGAAACATAAGAAACCTTTTCCAAATGTTACAATTGTTAGTATTTTAAAAATCCTTTCTACATCCATTATAATATTTTTAATAAACAATTATTGTAGATTATTTTAATGTCTATTATATATTAAAATAATCGATAATAATAAGCTATTATAAGCTACAATTATAATAGCCTATTTTGAAATTAATTGTATCCGATTTCAAAATATCAACACAGAAAAACAGACAATAAGTTATTCTANCCTATCAGAAATATATCTTTTTTAAATAGCAATATTTAAAAAAAGTAATAATAATAATTTCCTGACTACCAATTAATAGATATGTAAGTTATAAATAGTTATCATTATATAGTATACGATAATAGAGAGCAAAATCCAATTTTCTTTTATTGTTTCAGTTGTAATGAAATGTAATGATGCAAAGTTGACAGAGAGTTGTAATTCAGTTGTAATGATGCAAAGTTGGTTAAATATCCTAATTTTAAATAAAAAATTTCTAAACTATTTATAATTGTAGTATAATCATTAAAAGTTAGAAAACCATTTTTAATACTTCTAATATTCCACCTCTGTAAGTATATTGTGATAAAATTATATTATACAAATTATTAACCACCTAGCTTCAACAATTGTAAAAGTACTTTAACGTTTTAGGAATTTTTAGTATCTAATTATGTAGGACTTACATCTAAGAGGACTTTTGAAACAGATTTTGATAAAAATTATACATTCTTTAAGGTATATTTTAAAATATATAAGAAACATTTTCAAAATTTTACAATTGTTAGTATTTTAAAAATCTTTTCTACATCCATTATAATATTTTTAATAAACAATTATTGTAGATTATTTTAATGTCTATTATATATTAAAATAATCGATAATAATAAGCTATTATAAGCTACAATTATAATAGCCTATTTTGAAATTAATTGTATCCGATTTCAAAATATCAACACAGAAAAACAGACAATAAGTTATTCTAAAATCCATTTTTAAAAAACAAATTCTAATGAAACAACTAATTAAACGAAAACAATTTTAAAACATTTCCCAAGTAAATGTTAAACTTTTCAAATACCAAAGCAAATCCTGAATCGAACACGGAAACTACGCCAATTTGTAACCCACAGTTGTACATAAGTTATGTTTATTTTCTCATTTAAAATAACTGAGAACATTTGTATGATTTCAAGAACTTCATAAGAAACTGTATCTGTAACTGTTAGGGCAAAGAGAACGTTTCTCCGTTGCCATCTCTCTGTTTCATTTTCAATATTCATTATGGTCTGCGAAAGAGAAAGCAGGAAGTAATGGGACTACAAGATGTAAACATTGCCGGTGCCCTGAAAAACGAAATCACAAAAATGGGACCTCATTGGCCGAAGGGAAGCAAGATGAAGCAAGGGTCGCGTGGAATTAAGAGAAAGTAAACTCTCACGTGAAACAAGACCAATAAATTAGGATTTTGCGAACGAACGTGGGGCAAGGGGCCCATGTTGAAAGGGAACATATTTAAGAGAATGAAACAGGTAGGTGGCGCAGAGGTGACTGGACATTGGTGATACCAACATCGAATAATGTAAGTCCCTTTTTTTTTTCTTTTTTTTTAAATGGATCATAAGAAGATCCAGAGTTTAGCTCTATTAAACTATTCATATACTTCTAAGTAAACAATTATGTTATCGCTTAAATTAAAAACTTCAATTAAGGATTAATAAATAAACTTATTAAAAATAAGAAATTATAACTTGTTGATGATATTTATGATATTGATAATATAATAATAACATTTATTGTGAAGTAGTTTATTTTAAATATATTTGCTGTTATATTAGTCACAATAAATTCGAGAAATATTTTGAATTGTAATTATTTTTTAATTTAAAACTAACTAATTTAATTGTTTGTACAATAAAATTATTAACAATTATTTCGAACAATTATTAATGAAATAATTAAACAATTATTTCGTTAATTATCAATCAGAGGATAAGATAAAATGTCGACAATAACAATGTAATCGAAGAAACTTCATAAAAAAAAAATTTATTGATAAATGGTAAAAGAAAATTTCTAAAAGAAAACATTAATGAAACAATTAAAAATTATTAATGGTACAATATTATATGAACCGTATAAATGATAAGATAGGGGGGAAATATATAGGATAAATATATAGATGTAATAAAAAAGTCTAACGACGATATAGCAATAAAATTAAACAATTTTAACACAATATATAAACATAGAAAAAAAATTTACAGAAATATATATATATGTATATATGTAAAAAAAAAGTAACGGGAAAGTTTTAATAACTACTACAGGAATTAGATCTTTATCAATTAAATTTGAAAAATTTTGTTGGTTAAAAAAATATTGTAATATATATGACAATATTTAAGAAAATATTTACAAGTTAGTTTGTTTTTTTTTTAGTAAAATATTGAGAAAAATTATTTAAATTAACATTTTTAGAAATTTATGACAATTAACAGCGATTTATTTTAATCAATATATCAGAAATTTAAACCAGTTTTGTCAATCAAAATTTTATATTTAATAATCAATAAAAATCCCCACAAACAGTAATACATTACTAACAAAATGTATAATTAGGCAGCATTGTGGAATAAAAATAAAAAATTCAAATCACAATTCAAAAAATTATTTGATTTTTTAAAAAAATAACAAAATATTATTTAGCATAGATTTTTCACGGAGGAAAATGAGTCCTATGTCGAAAAGTCTATCTCTCACAGTTTGGACTCCTTTGAAAGTTTCAAGACGTTAACTGCACTGAAAATTCAAATTGAAAAATTTTATAAATACATTTTACTAATTATTTTTGAAAAATTAAATAAATACTGGCGTGGAAAATGTTCTAATTTTCTTTTATGTGAACGGTCTTATTATTTCTGAATTTCTACAGAACTAACCGAATATTAACTTATGATACCTGGTATTTAACTTATGATAACCGAGTCCAAAGAATTAAGTACAAAAAATGTAATTTAAATAATTACCAGAATTCAAGCTAAATGAATGTTATGATAATTATTGCAGTATTTATTTTAAATCCGTTTATTATTTTTCCCATTTAAAAAACTTTTAGAATTCAAGTTGAATGTAACGATAACTAATGTGACATTTTCTTTCAATTGTTTATTCTTTTTCCCATTTAAATAATTATTAGAATTAAAGATAAATGAATGTAACGATAGTTAATGTGTCATTTTTCTCAAATCGTTTATTATTTTTCCCATTTAAAAAAACTACTGGAATTCAAGTTGAATGTAACGATAACTAATGTGGCATTTTCTTTCAATTGTTTATTCTTTCTCCCATTTAAATAATTATTAGAATTAAAGATAAATGAATGTAGCGCTAACTAATGTGGCATTTTTTCAAAATAGTTTATTCTTTTTCCCATTTAAATAATAACTAGAATTCAATTTAAGAGGAATGTAAATATAACTATAGTGGAATTTTGTTTAAATCGTTTATTCTTCTTCCCTTTCACGAAACACAAAAGGAGTGCAAAAACTAAACTATAAAATGTCAATTTCTGTATCTTTATTTGTAACTTTTTCACATTATATTTTATTCATACGCAGCACAAACTAAACCCTATGTATTAAATATTATACTAGATTTAGTAATTAATTTATCGCTGGCAACTAATTTTTAGTGTTTAATTATTGTTGTATTTAGCATTTAATTTTTATTAGATATAAAGTAAAAAATTATAAACTAAAATATTATATTTATTAAATTGCTTGAGAAACTTATTTTCTCAAAATACATATGATAATTAACATAATATATGGAATAAACAAATACAGGACTAAAAGTGAAGAAATGATAATTTTCAATCCATAAGCTTTCAATATTAAACTTAAAAAAATTCAATTAGATAATTTCCGTAAGCATTGTTTCATAGCCAACATTCGTTAACAAGAAACATCGCCAGAAAGTGTGTCGTTCACTTCTTTTTTCTAAGATTTTTGATTTTTTTTTTAAATTTCTGAAGTTTTCTAATTATTTTAAAAATCATCAAGTCATAAATACTTTATAACTACTGTTCCCTAAATGTTATTTTCAATCAACGAGTTTTCAAGATTTAGTTTTAAAAATCCAATTAGATAATTTCCGTAAGCATAGTTTCATAACCAACATTCGTTAACAAGAGCCATCTCCAGAAAGTGTGCCATTTGAGGCATTTGCCTTCGTTCACTTCATTTTTCAAAGATTTTTGATTTTTTTTTTTTTTCAATTTCTAAAGTCTCCGAATTATTTTAAAAATCATTATGTCATAAAAACTATTTTATAAAAATTGTTTCATAACTGCTATTTTCAATCAATGAGTTTTCAATATTAAGTTTTAAAAATCCAATTAGATAATTTCCGTAAGCATTGTTTCACAGCCTTTAACAAGAGTCATCTCCAGAAAGAGTGCCATTTGAGGCATTTGCATATGTTCACTTCATTTTTCAAAGATTTTTAATATTCTTTTTTAATTTTTAAAGTCTTCTAACTATTTTAAAAATCAATTCATCAAAAATACCATTTTATAAATACTATTCCATAAATGTCATTTTCAATCAATGAGTTTTCAATATTTAGCTTTAAAAATCCAATTAGATAATTTCAGTAAGCATTGTTTAATAGCCAACATTAAACAGCGCCATTCAATGCCATTAAACAATGTTTTCAACAAAGGCAGTCTCCAGAAGTGTACCATTTGCGGTACTTGCCTTCATTTTTCTTATAAGCATTTGAGATTTTTTTTTCTTCCAATTACTAAAGTCTTCTAACTGCTCACTTTAAAAATCATTAAAATTATTGTATCATAAAGATTATGAATAACACTTGGAATTTCAATACGTAAAATGTCACTTTTATCACCTGCAAAATCAATTTTTGATGCAAGTACAAAGTATGTTAAATATATAATGCGCATAATTGGGTACTTGCAACTAATAACATGGCTGCGTCTAATCAACTAGTTGTGCAAGGCATGTTAACGTTGCTTGGGTTTATTACCACGCTGCATCAATTTTCGGATCAGATTTAATTGGATACCTGCATGCGACGTCACGCGTTTGTATCGAACCTGATTAGCTGACCCTCACATACCTCTTCTGCGCATCCAATTTTGTGTTTAAACATTAAGGTAATAAAAATGTATGGCTTGTTTTTTTTTTNTTAATAAATACTGCTCCATAAGTGTTATTTTCAATCAATGAGTTTTCAATATTCAGTTTCAAAAATCCAATCAGATAATCTCCGTAAGCATTGTTTCATAGCCAACATTCTTCAACAAGAGCCATTTTCAGAAAGTGTGCTACTTGAGGCATTTGCCTTCGTTTACTTCATTTTTCAAAGATTTTTAATATTTTATTTTAATTTCTAAAGTCTTCTAATTATTTTAAAAATCATCAAATCATAAATATTATTTAATAAATATTATTTAATAAATACTGCTCCATAAGTGTTATTTTCAATCAATGAGTTTTCAATATTCAGTTTCAAAAATCCAATCAGATAATCTCCGTAAGCATTGTTTCATAGCCAACATTCTTCAACAAGAGCCATTTTCAGAAAGTGTGCTACTTGAGGCATTTGCCTTCGTTTACTTCATTTTTCAAAGATTTTTAATATTTTATTTTAATTTCTAAAGTCTTCTAATTATTTTAAAAATCATCAAATCATAAATACTATTTTATAAATACTGTTCCATAAATGTTATTTTCAATCAATGAGTTTTCAATATTTAGTTTTAGAAATCCAATTAGATAATTTCCGTAAGCATTGTTTAATGGCCAACATACAGTGCCATTCAATGCCATTAAACAATGTTTTCAACAAAGGCCATTCTCCAAAGAGTGTACCATTTGCGGTACTTGCCTTCATTTTTCTTATAAGCATTTGTGATTTTTTTCTTCTTCCAATTACTCAAGTCATCTAACTGCTCACTTTAAAAATCATTAAAATTATCGTATCATCAAGATAATGAATAACACTTGAATTTCACTACGTAAAATGTCACTTTTATCACCTGCAAAATCAATTTTTGATGCAAGTACAAAGTATGTTAAATATATAATGCGCATAATTGGGTACTTGCAACTAATAACATGGCTGCGTCTAATCAACTAGTTGTGCAAGGCATGTTAACGTTGCTTGGGTTTATTACCACGCTGCATCAATTTTCGGATCAGATTTAATTGGATACCTGCATGCGACGTCACGCGTTTGTATCGAACCTGATTAGCTGACCCTCACATACCTCTTCTGCGCATCCAATTTTGTGTTTAAACATTAAGGTAATAAAAATGTATGGCTTGTTTTTTTAGCCTATTATGTCTACACAAATTATCCAAAAAAAATAGCTGCCATTAAATTTATTTGTCACTACTGTCCGTTACTAAATATATATTAATTAATCAACCACAAGGTGGTCACATATTGAACCAAATACAAGTTAATAATATGTAAATTCAAATTCTCGTCTCTTCAAACTTTCGTTTGACAGAGTATGGTTAAACAAACTGGATATTTTGAAACTTTGTACAAAACGAGAACTGTTTCTGTGCCTAAATTTCTATTTTTCTAGAAAACTTTGTAAGTGAAACTTCAGCAAAACATGAGACTTCCAGCAATTATTGGTATTTTTACCTGTGCCGTTTTCCTCTCTTGCTGCCTCCATGAAACAGAAGGATCATTGAAACTTTTGAAACTTATAAAAGCAGGACTCATCCTAAAAGCTCTTAAACCGAAGAAAATCTTCTTGCCTCTGCCCCTACCTATTCCTATCGGGTAAGTTATGACATTTCACTTTACCATCGATAATTATCAGTTTGTTTTCAGATGAAAGGCATATACACACCTTCAACTACACACACACAAAATTAAAAAATACTTGCCAGTAAGAAAGTACAAGCTAACAATTAAAAGTCCCCAGATTTTATCTAACTAGAGAAGGTAATAGGGTATTGGTATTTCGAAGAAACATTTCTTTTTATTTTATAATCGGCGTTGATCAGCCGACGCAATTTTGAATTTACGACTGCCAGTTTTATACACAGTAGTTATGTAATTTTGAACCTAACCCAGAAGACAAAAGAGCCCTTGGATCAAGAATTGGAACAAACTAGCCTACGTGGAAAGACTTCTTGATGGAACTAACCCACATTTGCGTTACAATGAGAGGAAAACCGCGAAAACCTCCCACGGTTAGCCCGATGGCAAGATTTCAACCCATGATCCATCTACCACTGACGATATTTTACGTCAGCAATGTCAGCACGATCCGGGAGCAGAATTCATGTCAACCTGTCACCGCTGGGATTCGAACCTGGGTCAATGTATTGTTTTTTATTATTTTATATGTGAATTTAATATAAAAAGCTTTCATGATTACCTTTATGGAAAGAATATATTACCTTTATGATCCCAAGTAAACCGAAATATTTCGAGTCTGTTTCTTTCCTTGTAAATAGTAATAATATGTTAATCTAGCAAATAAATCTAGTCTGTTTCTTTCCTTATATTTGAAATTTTTTCTAGTCAGTTCCTCTCCTTGTAAAGAGTAATAATCTGTAAATTTAACAAATATATCTATCTAGTCTGTTTCTTTCCGTATATTTCAAATATTTATAGTCTATTCCTTTCCTTGTAAATAGTAATAATCTGTAAATCTAGAAAAAGCTTTAACACTTTCAATTCTTGCTAAATTGGAAAATCCTGATTTTATTCAAATTTTCTTTCCTTCATAAAAAAAAAAGAAATATTTAAACAGTCAGTTGAGAAAGTGCTGGTTTGCATTTAACAAAAAAAGAACAAAACAATGATATGTTAGCAAATTTATTAAGATCTGTAAATATTTTAATGTCTGTAATGCGATTTTCAAAAAGAAAATTTGACATTTAAATTATAGCAATTTGCTTAGAGCTAAAAATACAAAAAAATGCTGCATAATTGGTAGAAAATTTTAGCAGTTAGTCTAAAAAGAAAGCTTCACATCGCAATAAGAATAAAACCATTATCAGTCCTTTTAAATAGACAATTTCTATTTATGGAAGAAGAAAAATAAGAAGTGGTAGCTTCCGTGTTCAGGATTTATTTTACAGAAACAAGTTAATTATATCATAATACATGAATTTATATACTTATATTTGTATCTTAACTCAAAGTGCTATTTTAAAGCCGAAATGGTGGGTAATAGAATGAAATGTCCACTTGGTGTATAAACAAATATGTACTGCTAATTTTTAACTTATATGTTTTTCATTCAGGCATTTACGGGTTAAGTGATTAAATTTCCCGTATACTTTAAAATATATGCATCATTATTAAAATAGAGTTTTCGATTTTTAAAAAGAAGTTCCAAACTTATATGTTGTTAAATTATATTTTAAACAATCCTATAAAATTTTACCAAGAACATTATAGTACATTTTTTCAAACAAGGAAATAAGTGAATATTAAACTAAATGAGTTTGATTATGCATCGCACGCTCATTAATATATATTTTTAAAAAATCATATATAATTAAGATTTTTTTTAAAAATTAGATACTTTGTTTTGCTAAAAAACAACATAACAACTCAGTTTTAAATAAGTAAAAATACTTTTGTTTTAAATGTTTATTTTATTCAAAAATGCGATGCTTTGCCTTTGCCTTTTAATGCTTGTCGGTAAGTTTTAATATTTGTATAAAGCTTTAACCTTCCATTCGTAATAAATTTCAACCATAGGTTAAAAATCTAAGTGCAATTAAATCCATGTCATCAAAATAAATTTTATATTTAAAATCATTTAAATAAAAAATAATATAAATTTTTTTAAACTTAATATATGCATGTGTGTATCAGATATTAGAACCGACACTTTAATATCAAGCATTTACTATGCTTAACTTTTTCGATGGTGCTGCCATCTTGCATAAGATATCGTAAAAATATCTTCTTAAGTTCAAATAATATTGTAATTAAAAAAACATCAAATATCTTGTGTTTTATTAGACTTAAATTATGCTTGTATAAATGATTTTTTGAATTTAGTTTATTTTTAATTTTAACATTTATGCAACACTTAAATCTTGCTTTTTTTAAACGAATAATAAATCAAATTTGACAAAAATAAACTAAATAATGCACTTTTCTCCAAAAATTATTTCAATACAAAAATAATAAAACTATTTTAGTACATTGTCTTTATTAAGAGAAAATAAATTAGGGATAGGATGTTAGAATCGAATACCTACTTGGCGAAATATTTTAAATCGATAGTGCTGCCATCTTCATTTTAATTTGTACAAATCTCATTTGCTTTAAAGAAATTGCATAAAAAAAAAAATAATTCTATTATTTTATTCATAACCTAATTTTTTATTTTTATTTTGAACAAAGCTAAGAATGATAATATCATTTTTTATGTTTTCTATATATTCTATTAAAAAATCTTTCCTAAAAAAACATTACTGCAACTGAAAAAATAATAATTGAGAGCCTTGCATGTCAATTTAACTGCTCTTACATGCTTTAGATTAAAATAATAATTAAAAAATGGAATAAAAATAAACAGTTGCATTGTTGCGAAAAATTATTTTTAAATACGACTGTTAAGCTCAAACTATACCTCACTCAAGTAACAAGTAAAATTAATTATCCGAAGGTGATGTGTTCGGCAGTACTGTACTGTACACTTGTTACTCTTCAAGATTTGCAGTATTCATCGTCTAACAGTCAAATGCTTAATTCCGTCAAAATAAAAATAAAAATTAGTGAAGGTATTTTGAACATTGAAAAGCCAACAGATGACACAATTAAAAGTGCGGCAAACAAGCGCAGAATTTTTATACTTTCTGTCCATCTAAGAAAAGCAGAATGACAAAAAAGCGTATGCAATAAGGCTATCTGTGGAGAGCAAACGTTTAACATCGGCCAAGAATGCAAACGATAATGTTTGCCATATTTCTATTCTTTAATTTAAATATAATAGTTTTTCAAGATACTCTGAATTGTTTGAAATAAATAAAGGAAATATAAAAATATACTTGTATACAGTGTATTCGTCGATTGATTAGTAACAGAATAACGTCGATTTTAAATTAGTTATCTAGAGTTAAGATAGAGGTTAAAATATAACGAAAAGAACAACCGTAAATTTGCATAATGGTCTTTCTTGATTTCATAAAAAAACTGCTTTTTAATTAAGTTATTGTCAACATTTATTTTATTAGTATCAAAGGACATGATCACGACTTTCATCATCATCATCACAGCTTCGAAATAGAGCCTCTCCACGATTTCCACTCCTTTGGGCATGGCCATGGACACGGCTACGGGCATGGACACGGTTATGGACATGGACCATATGAATACAAGACTACAGGCTATCACATATCAACTGGTTGGTGGCACAAATAGATAACTTGATTTATATTGCTAGTGCCAACTGTATAGTAATCGAATGGAATCTCATTAGCAAAAGAAAGCAGAAAATATTTGCATACATTCAAGCACAAATATTTATCTGTATGTGATTAAAAACATTACACTTTGCATCTGTAAAATAGCATATTTGTGACGGGTCCAACAATATTATTTGTAAACTTTTGTGAATAAAACTAATGTGTAAATAAAGTAACTTCGATACAAGTTGCAAGTCTCTCTTTTTATTTTGTGTAAAATTTATTTTATAAAAGGTAACTGAAGTATATTATTTTATGAAAGAAAACGAAAACAATCATGTTCTATTTAAATATGGTATGAGCACAAAAATTAAAAAGAGTATTAGTGTTGCACAATTCTTTAATTTGCGATTTAAACTCTTCTTTTTTTAGTTAGTAACTTTTTGTTACGATTTCTATTTAACAAACGAAACTAAATTAGTAAATAATTGCATTAATTGAAAAATGCCACTTTTGCATCCGTTTTATGAATTAGAATAGATTCAATATTAGACGTAACAAGCATTATTAAAAGTTTTCAAAAAAAAATTGAAAATTATTTTTGTGCTCAAAACATATGCGCACGAAAGAAGAGTGAGAATTAGTGTTCGATTTGTTTTTTAGTTTACGCATCAAATATTTTTTGTTGTTGTTTATTTATTTACTTTTTTGTTACAGTTTCTACTTAACAAAAATGTTATGAGTCATTTATGGCATCTAATTGAAAAATTTAACTTTTGCACCCGTTTTATGAATCAGAATCGATTTAATATTGCACGTAACAAGCATTAGTAAAAGTTATTAAAAAAATTTAAATTAGTTGCAGGAAACTATGATTTCTTTATTAGATTTCCTAGAAGGGATAAGTGCACCTACTTGATGTCCATGCGGATGTCCATGTACATAGCAAAGTTTTGAGAATCAGTCAAAAAAAGAAAAGTTTTTTTTTTTACCCTTTGACGAAGATTGGACACACTTGTCCCTTTCATATATTTTTTCTTCTGACGTTCTAATTACAAGCAAAAATATATCTCGGTATTTTCTAATTATAAAAAACAGTCTAATGGTTACTCTAAGTGAATCTGTTAGCTTATCGGAATAATATTTGTACTAATATAAAATACAAAAAGGTAGCTTGAAACAAAAGAAATTGTCTATTTATATTAAAAAATTTATCAATAATTGATTTCGTAAATTAAATATATTTCCATGATGAATAACTGTTTCTTTTGGATCTAAATAAATGCTAATAAGTGCAAACTTGAAAACAAAAATTTCGGAAATTTGCCGTGTTTGGAAGATTTGACCTTTAACCCAGAAAAAGACATTGGTGTTTAAAGTTGTACTTAATAACCATAAATTATTAAAATGCTAAATATAATATTTTTCACTCATTTTGACCTAATTTATTTCAAAATAATGAAAAGAGTATGAAAAATATATTTAATAAAAATTCTGCGTCGAACTATTAATGAAAACATTTAAACTCAATGAACATTCTTTTACCACTGACAGGTCCATTTCACTATAAAAAATGTATAATCAAATTTCAGGAAACTTTTTTGTTTGTTTCTGGAGAAACAGTTTCCTGGTATACACTCCGAGCAAACATTTTGTCTAAGTGATGAAATAACAATCATCACTTCTTCTAGGAAACGAATTTCGTCAAAAGTGAAGAAATATTTCTTCATTTCAGTTCCGATTGTCTAATCTTCATTCTAGTTCCGTCATTCTACTTAACAATCTTCCACAATGAATTGCGATGAAGTTCCGAATTGAAAAAACATTTTCGTCATATTTTAGAGTTTGCGTTTCGTCAAAAATTACGTGATTTCGTGACGAAATGAATCTTAAAATTATCGAAATAAAGCTCAAAGATTAATAAATCGTCAAAAGTGAGAGCCTTTTTTTTTCTTTTTTTTTTGAAGTTATACTTCTTATGCGACTTCCAACAAGGTTGCGTTAAACGTTTAACGCTACATTTTTATTGGCCTGGAAATCACGTGGTAGGATCCAGTTTTCCCTCATTCATTTCCATATTGTTTTGGTTCTCACTAGCATAAAAATAATAAAAGTCATAAAAGTATTGTTTTTATAGAAAGGTACGGACAAAAATGGAATACTGTGACACCATCATTAGACATACTCAAAATAAAATAAAAATCGCCACTCAGCTTTAGCTGGTAAGTTCAGTTGAAAAATTTTAGCAAGCAGCATTATTAAAAACTAGGAGGCTTCGCTCCCTGCTCGCTGGCGCTCACCAACCCCCGGAACTGCTTTCGCAGTTCATTTCGGATTGCTTCGCAATCCGATGCTCGCTTTGCTCACTCATTGAATACGTTCTTAACGTCTAGCTTTTGTATACTTTTTTGAACACTGAAGTTCCGAAAACTTTTCACTGTAGAAAATTCTAAACCTGTGCATTTCAATATTAATTTGAAATTGCAAACAGTTCACATATTTTTCTTAATCACACTATTCTAAATTTCAGTTGTTGAGAAAAGTAACTGTTGTAAGTTTTGTTTTAAAGTCTTTCCCACNCATTATTCCTTATTTTTGTGTGTTTCTTATCCTACGAATAGGTTACACACATTTTATTTCCGACCATCGGCTTCGGATCGTACTTTTTTTTAATTCAGACCAGGTGCATGGACTTCGGAAAAGTAAGAACCGCAGTGGATACAAATGATTTTCTTTATGTACTTGACTCTGTCACAAGCAAAGAAAAACATTATTCAATTAAGTAAAAACCACTTTGGCTACGTATAATTTTTTATGTGCCTGGCTCTGTAGAGGTCATAGAAAAACAGTATTAAAATAAAGCCAATTTTGATACAAATAATTTTCGTTAGGTATGTGATTTTGTCTCGGGCAAAGAAAAATCTTTTTCAAATAAGTAAAAATCGCTATAAATAATTGTTTTTATGTACGCGACTCTGAAGCTGTCATAGATACATGCTATTCAAATAAGTAAAAATCACAGCTACAAATTATTATTTATATGAAACTAACTAAATGGTCATATAAACTCATTGTTCAATGATTGATACATTAAACTGGCTAAAAAAATCGGTAACACTAATTTCTACCTTACTTAAAAATGTAAAAAAATTAAATAAATTACATTATGATATTCGGTACTTTTCCGTTAACAGTGTGAAAGTTAATTAAATTTTATTTTTCCATTATTCATTTTCACCCCTCTGAAAAATGATAAATAAAAAAAGTTTAATAATTGCGCCCTGATAAAGGAAAAGTAAGTAAGAAATGTAAAAGCTTTTCAAAGCATTTTAACTTGTCATTTGACCCTTATAAGTCTGATTCGTTTTATTTTGATATTATTTGTACAAGCCACATTTCCAACTTTTCTTTGGAATAAAAATCTGATAGTGAAAAGAAATAATTCGAAAATAAACGCAATTAACATTTTGTTAAATGCAAAGAATTAACAACGCGTATAGTATGAATAAATCATTATCTACGTCTTCGCCAAAGAATACCTTTGTTCGCCAAGATCTACGTATAGCCGTTGTCTAATAGCTGCATTAAATAAGCAAGATTATAATTGTGAGTTGCGATTTTAATATTACTTTGAATCAGATTTCAAATGATATAAATTTAAACTTGTTAGAACAAAACACTTTTTTTAACATTATAAAAATTGTGCCAACTTCCAGAGTTGGTTCAACCGACTATTAATTTGGAAAAAAAAAACTAATTCACTAGTTCTAGACGACACGACGCAATGAAATGCATTGCTATTTGCATACAATGGATGAATATAAAATTTCTTGAACGATATAAAACATGTTCTATTAAAATCTAAACCAGTGATTCTCAACCACTGTGCCGCGGCACTTTTGTGTGCCGCCAAATTCTTAAAATGTGCCGCCAAATATTGGAAATGATACAATAAAAATTAGAATGCTTTTTTCATTACGAGTAAAATTTAAATTAAAAAAGAGTCTGTGTATATATATATATATATCTATATCTATATACTTTTTATAATTTTTCCACGCTTTAGCCGCGTGAACATTTTTGTCGGTGATTGTCTTGTCTCAGACAATCTTAAAATAAGTTAGAATCAGAAGGAATTGTTTAAATTGTCTTTGACAATTTTAAAAAATGTTGAAATTATAGGTAGGAAGTTTAATGACTATTAAAATTATTAATTAGCAAAGGAAAGCAAGCTAAATATTAACTTTCAAACGGAAATAAAAGCTAATCATTAAAGTAAGCTATGCAATTTATAATTCTAAAAACAAATTAACAAAGGATAACTAACAAAAAATAAGCTAACAATTAATAATTAGCAAAAATACTAATTTTCAGGAAATCACAAAAAATAAGAATTAATGTAAAAAAACGAACAAATATGAACTGTAGAAAACATACTAACAATTAATAACTAGCAAAAAATAAATAACTGTTACTAACTAACAAAAAATTAGTCGTAAGAAATAATTAATCCCTTAATAAACTTGCTTTTGTAGTACATATCATTTTATTTCACATTCAAAATTATTATCACAAACTATTTAACACATTATATTATAGGTAAGTAAACAACTTTTAAGCTAATTTTTTTCATTTTGTGCCGTCAAATTTCGAAATCTTTAAAAGTGTGCCGCCACACAAAAAAGGTTGAGAATCACTGCACTAAATACTTAAATGTTACAAAAACTAATGTCATTCGGCAAAGGCAGATGGCAGCACCAGAAACGAATATTTTGAAGGAAATGAGAAATTTAAAATAGAAATTTATCACAAGTTTCGCAACAATCAACAAATTATTAATACTCTAATTACCATTTAACTATCAAACAGATTTTCCTGAGAGTTAAATGGTAATAATAAATTACCTTTAAAAATTGCATATTATGGTAATTTTCAGATTCGAATACATTTTTTTCCTAAACTAGTAATAATTTGTTGAGAAACAATGCTTTACCTCGAAAAATTTAATTCTAATATCGTAATATTTTTTTACAACATTTTGGTACTATTAGAACGATGATATGGTATTTGAACGAACTGAAAAATGATTGAAAGCGATCACCATATTAATCTGTAGTTCAGTTTTCTCGTCGCTAGATGGCAGTATGGGAATCAAGGTACTTCCTATTAAACAATTTCTTAA